TACTAATAGTCCTACCTTTGCTCCCGTCACAACTTTTTTACAATGTGTTGCTGCCACAAAATTCAAAATGTACTTTTATTTCCAACGGAAATCTAAAACAATGTCTCAGTTTAAACATTTGTTTCCTAATCACTCCACTGTGAATAAACAATGTGTTAATGAGATGTGCAAATCATTACATTTACATTTTATATAATGTTCCAACTCTTAGATGTGGTTTTGTATGATTCTCAACATGACTACATGGAAGTGCGGGGGTCAACATATCCTCTTCATCATTTTGCATACTTTCTCTTCTTGATTAAGAGATTTTGTTTGTTTTAATATGATAGTGACGTTTTCCCTCTTTTTTTATGTCTTGATAAAGTCTTGTAAACTTTTGTCTCTTGATCTGCATAAACTTTATACAGAAGCCTTTTAATCAGCTGCTTTCTAGGCTGAACTTTTGTTCCTCAGAGGGTTTCATCATTTTTGCAAGTCTTTAATAAAAGTGCTCTTTTTTTCCCCCATATAACTAGACAAACTGGAGAGGGAGGGAGTTATTTTGCTTTTAATAAACCTAAAAAAATAAGCTTTTTTTCACAATTACAGTACACATTGAAAATAACCTGTTGGGGCATCTTTTTCTGTCAAAACATTGTTTTTGCAACAAGTTTCAGCATGAAATGATCTGTGTTTTTACACAGGTGTTTGCAAAAAACATTTTTTTAACTCAGTTTTTTTTTTCTGTACCACTGCTTGTGTTGAACTCTGAGGCCAGAGCCTCTCTTGTGTTAAATTTAAAATTTTATTTGAATTAAAAAGTGTTAAATTTCCCGTACTCTATGTTAGAGTGTATTGCCGGCACATTTACAGTGCTTTACAGTGGGAGTTGTTCACAAGTGGGAGGAAATGCCATTAACCAGTGACTTTAACCAGAATTGGCAGTGTTTTAAAGAGCTATAGTGGTGAGAGGGAATATGTAGGTAAGACCTTGTGCCTGCAAAACTCGAAGTGCCCTTGAGCAAAACGCTAGGTTCCTATGAGACATTTCCTCTTTCGCTGATCCAGACTGGTGACCTCTGTGAGGACAGGCCCCGGCAGTGCTCACAGACTGATCAAATATTTACTTACAACTTGAATGTGTTCATTAGAAATCTTCAATTTCTTAAAATCTGAAAATCACCACCTTTACCTGTGTTTAACGAACTCTTCTGGGCTTGTTTAAAAAAAAAAAAAAAACTTTTGTAGCCTTTAACATGTCTTGAACTCCCAGAGTATTGAGAGGTGTACTGTTTGGTGCTGATCAGAGTACTGGTGAGTTGAGCTGAAATCATCACAAGAGTTAATTGTCACCAGAACAGTGTGGATTGTATTAATTTAAGATGCAGGGAGGAAACGAGCTTTCTTGTTCCGTTTGCAAGCCCAAAGATTTTTGCTGTAAGATACACTCCAAGGAGTAAAGACTCATGGGTGAAATAACCTGTGTATGTTGTAAATAAAATTTATTTGCTTGTTCAAACTGAAGGCGACTCTTTATTTGAAGCTGTGAAGTGGGTAAAAACTAAAACGGGATCATTCATAGCTGGACGATGAGCTTGGCTATTCTGTAGTTTAGTTCATAACTTTGATAACAAAATATCAAACATTCTATTCAGTTTATTTATACAGCGCCAAGTCCCAACAGAAGTCACCTCGGCACTGAACAGAAACATTCATATATATATATATAAATAATTTAATATTATTTATTATCATTAATTCTGAGGAACAGACTGAATTTAACTCCATCATAGACTCTCATCTTGAGCAAGCATGAAGGCGACAGTGGAAAGGAAAAACTCATGAGGAAGAAACCTTTAGCAGAGCCAGGCTCAGGACAAGTGGCCATCTGCTTCGACTGGCTGGGTTTGAGAGGAACAGATACACAATGGCAGGTCGAGAAGTTAAGATAGAAATAGTATCAAATGAAAACTCCAATTTTTAAAATTAATTTTAAGAAATGAGGTCAGCACGATGGCTCAGTGGTTAGCACTGTTGCCTCACAGCAAGTAGGTCCCGAGTTCAATCCCTGGTTGGACCTGGGGTCTTGTGTGGAGTTTGCATGTTCTTCTTGAGCTTGCGTGGGTTTTCTCCAGGTACTCGGGTTTCCTCGCACAGACCAAAAACATGCATGTTAGGCTGCCTTCAGGCCCAGGCCTCCTTTGCAAAAGAGATCTGTGATCTCTATGGGATTTGCCTGGTTAAATAAAGGTTAGTAATAAATAAATACATTTGTCCTCTAGTAGTCTAAATCTAGCAGCATAATAATCCAACCCTAACTATAGGATTTATCAAAAAGGAAAGTTTTAATCCCAGTCTTAAAACTGGACAGTGTGTCAGGCTCACAGACAGAAACTGAAAGTTGGTTCCACAAGAGAGGAGCCTGAGAACTGAAAGATCTTCCTCCCATTCTGCTTTTGGAAACTCTAGGAACCGCGAGTAAACCTGCAGTCTGAGAGCGAAGTGCTCTGTTAGGAAAATATGGAACAATATCTGTAATATATGGAGGTAGGTTGTTGAGAGCTTTCTAGGTTAAAAGTAAGATTTGAATTCATTCATGTTTTCAGAAGTGATAAAGAATGACAAGGGGTGTTACAGTAGGCTACAAAGCCACAAGGGATTATAATTTTCTGATTTAGGAATTAATTTTTCAGTCTTTCTCCCTCCTTAGATGACATTAATCTGGCCTCCAGCTCCAATGTTAAAAATCTTGGTGTTATTTTTGATCAGGACACGTCTTTTATCCCCCACATTAAAAACATTACTTGAACTGCCTTCTTCCACCTGTGTAATATTGATAACATTAGAAACATCTAAAAATAATGCAGAAAAACTGGTTCATGCATTTGTCTAGTCTAGACTGGACTATTGCACTGGTTTATTATCTGGGTGTCCAAATACTTTTTTAAAACGTCTTCATTTAATCCAAAATTCTGCTGCCAGAGTCTTAACTGGAGTTAGTGGGAGAGATCATGTCTTTCCAGTTTTAGCTTCTCTCCATTGGCTCCCTGTCAAATTCAGAATTGAATTCAAAATCTTACTTCTAACCTACAAATCCCTCAACAACCTAACTCCATTTTATATTCAACATCTTATTGTTCCATATTTCCTAACAGAGCACGTTACTCTCAGACTGCAGGTTTACTCGCGGTTCCTAGAGTTTCTAAAAGCAGAATGGGAGGAAGATCTTTCAGTTATCAGGCTCCTCTCTTGTGGAACCAACTTCCAGTTTCTGTCCGTGAGGCTGACACATTGTCCAGTTTTAAGACTGGGATTAAGACTTTCCTTTTTGATAAATCCCATAGTTAGGTTTGGCTCATTCTGCTGCCATAGGCTTAGACTACTGGAGGACAAATTGACCTAATTTCCTTAAACGAATTATTAAAATTGAATAGTTTTCATTTGATATTATTTCTAGCTTAGCATGTGATTCTTGACCTGCCATTGTGTATCTGTTCCTCTCAAACCCAGCTGGTCGAAGCAGATGACCTCTTGTCCTGAGCCTGGTTCTGCTAAAGGTTTCTTCCTCATGAGGGAGTTTTTTCTTTTCACTGTCGCCTTCATGCTTGCTCAAGATGAGAGTCTATGAAGGAGATAAACTCAAAGCAGTCTGCTCCTCAGATAAATAATGTTAAATTATTATTTTTATATATGAATGTTTCTG